TCATATTCAAAATGGTAGAACATTCCATGGCATTTCCCAGGCCATTTTTCTGCCCACTTCCCTCTGTGGCATGGTTGTGTCCTAGAGGAGGTAGCAGGCCAGTTCCCATACCCTTCCTTGAACTGGAGGGAACAGAGGGACCTTATTTGTAAAATGGTAACCTAACTGGGTGCTACCTTCGCTGGTGTTGTTCTGCCTAACTTGGATTTCAGGTATCAGTGATTTCTTCTTTATGATACCAAAGCAAAGAAGACTAATAAAAAAAAAAGATAAGCCATAATTCATCAAAATTAAAAACTCTGCATCAATGAACACCATTAACAGGGCAAAAAGGCAACCCACAGAATAAGAGAAAACATTTGAAAATCATATACCAGGTAGAATACATAAGAACTGATACAAAAAATCCAACTCAAAAATGAGCAAAGGACTGGAATAGATATTTCTCTGAAAAAGATAAACAAATAGCCAATAATCACATGAAAACATGTTCCATATCATTAATCACTAGGAAAATGCAAATTAAAATCACAATGAAGTATAATTTCACATTCACCTATTAGTATGACTGTTATGGAAGGAAGGAAGGAAGGAAGGAAGGAAGGAAGGAAGGAAGGAAGGAAGGAAAGAAGGAAGGAAGGAAGGAAGGAGAGAGAAAGAAAGAAAAAGAAAGAGAAAGGAAGGAAGAAAAAGAAAGAAGGAAAGAAAGAAAGAAAGGAAGGAAGGAAAAGAAATGGCAAGGATATAAGGAAATTGGAACCTTTGTGCGTTGCTAGCAGGAACAAAAAGTAGTACTGCCATTGTGGGAAACATTATAGTGATTCCTCAGACAGTCAAACATAGAACTTACATTTGATCAAACAATTCTACTTCTGGGTATATACACCCAAAAAAAAAAAAATTGAGAGCAGGGACTCAAACATATTTATACAACAGTGTTCATGGCAGATTATTCACAACAGTCAAAAGACTGAAAACCCTAATGTCCCTCAACAAATAAACGGATTATCAAAATGTAGTACATACATACAATGGAATATTATCCAGCCATAAAAATGAAGATAATTATGATATGTGCTACAACATAGGTCAATAGGACAGACACTAAAGAACAAATATGGTATTATTCACTGGATGAGATACTAGAATACTCAAATACATGGTTACAGAAAATAGAAGAGTGGCTGCCACGAGCTAAAGGGAGAGGGAATGGGAAATTGTTTAAAGGTACCAAGATTCAGTTTGGAATCATGGACAAGTTCTGGAGATAATTGCACAACAATATGAATATACTAGTGTCACTGAAATATACTCTTTTTTCTTTTTTTAAATTATTTATTTTAAAGATGTAGGATACAATTCAAGATTAAGTATGAATTATACTCTTAAAAATAGGTAAAATAGCCGGGCTCGGTGGCCTCAGCCTGTAATCCCGCGCCTTTGGGAGGCTGAGGTGAGTGGATTGCCTGAGCCCACGGGTTCGAGACCCGCCTGGGCAGCGAGACCTCATCTCTACAATAAATCAAAAAATCAGCCGGGCGTGGTAGCGCATGCCTGTAATTCTGGCTACTTGGAAGGCTGAGGCGGACGGATTGCCGGAGTGGCCACTACACTCCAGACTGGGCGACCGAGTGAGACTCCAACTCAAAAAATAATAATAATAATAAAAAAAAAAAATTTTTAAATAGGTAAAATAGGGCAACTCCTTTGGGTCCCCTCCCACTGTGGGAGCTTTTCTGTCCTCTTAATAAATCCTACTTTTAAAAAAAATAGGTAAAGTGACACATTATGTTGTGTATATTTTACCACCAAAAGAAAAAAAAGTATAAGACAAAAGCCTAGATAATCAGTCTATTTTTCTGTTCCATGGGGCTGCAACCACTACTTCAAAGAATAATCTATTTCAAAAGCCTTTGTTATCCTAAAAGCTCTTATATCAATAACCTGCCATAGTTTTTTAATGACTATCATAGGCAAAACCATATTCTCCAACACATCAGCATGACCTCATGTGCTCGTCTTTTACTTACAGGCTAGGAGAGAGATGGGACAAGAAGAGGGGAAGGAGCCCTGTGTGATGAGGCCCATCTAAGAATGCAGGCTTTCTTTCTAAGAGGGAGGGCAGGAAATGGCCGGAATCATACGAATTCAAATACAGGCTGAAGTACTTAACCTAGAACTATCAGAATCTCTGAAACATACTCCAGTAAATGAAAATAAGAATAAAAAATAAGAATAAAAATGCATATAACACTACATATTAGGCACTCACGAACATACACACACACACACACACACACACATACACACACACGAACATCTATATATATACACACACTCATGAACATATATACACACACACACACACATATGTATGTATGTATGTATATATAGTGTGTGTGTGAGATAAAGCCAAGGTCACTTTTGAGTGACTCTAGGTGAAAGGCATTTAACATTTCACTGAAATTTTTTTCAAGGTGAAAGTGTAATTTAAAAAACTAAGTATTAATAATACAATTATTTCATGAATCTCCTGGCATAATTTCGATTGCCATGCTTTTCTATGATATCTGGATATGTTTTTCATAAGTAAAATATAAAGGCAAAATCTTGTGTTCAAAATTCTCAAATATTTAGTTTTCTATTTGCATGTCAAATTTTCAAGATGCATCTAATAGCACCAAAAATACCAGCTCTATCATTCACCAGCTGTATAAACTTAACCAAAAAGCTTCACATAACTAAGTGTAAGGTTTTTAGGCTAAACATAAAGGTATGTGAGTAAAATCATAGGTCCAACCTGGAGAGGATTTTGATAATTAAATGAGATAGTATAAGCTTATGGTTTTGCATAACATGCACACAAAAAAGGATTTCAATAAATGTTGAATTAGGTGAAATTTAAGCTACAACAATTACAAGAAGCAAATTGGTTCACTAGGTTATATATTTCTACAAAATCTGCAAACTGTAAATTACTAAGAAATGAAAGCTACAAATACATTTTTCACCAGGATAAGCAGCAGTCAAATTCAACACACTGCTCCTGTAAAGCCTCCTCTTGTCTGATTCTTCAGTGTGGAGAGTAAGGAAATTGGAGGTAAAACATGAGCCCCGACATTAAAAGCACCTACACAAAATTAACATAGGGTCATATGTTAATGAATAAACACTGGGGATCAAAACTGTAGAAGTGACCTGAGCCCTGCCAAGGTACAGCTTTGGTTAAAAATTAATAGATCTGTTGGTTTGCACAAACACTTCAACAGAGAACAATAGATTATCTTCATGTCCTGACCCCTTGGAAAAGAGAAGCTGCCCTGATGTTGGGAAACATATTTTCCCTTAAACAAGGAGCCTAAGAATGCACAGATCTCCTTAATAACATCCCAAAGTTTCATTGGCTGAAGAACAAAAGCAGCTCTACTCTCCCTAGACCCCGTCTCCAGTATACCTTACTCCTAAACTATTTCTGCAATGGCTTCAGCCCAGGGCTTTATAGGTAACATCTATTATAAAACCTAAGAATAGTCTTTGAGATGTTTTTCAAACCTTACACTCTGATAAATCCAAGTCCCCACATGGGCCCAGGACACACCAAGAAGCTGACTCCACCAGTGATGCCACTTCCCAGAAACAAGCTCAACATACAAAGACAGTTACAACACTTCCCCCCATGACATCATCTATAACCAATCAGCAGTGCCCATTTCCTAGCCCCCTGTCCATCAGATTAGTCCTTTAAAAAACCCTCGCCTGAAATTCTCGGGAAGGTGAATTTGAGAAATCTCTCTCGTCCTCCCCCCTCAGCTGCTTTTCAACATTAAACTCTTTTTGTATGATAACAGTTGTATCAGTCTTGGTTTTCCTGGGCAGCAGGCATAAGAACCCGGCCAGGCTGTAACAAAATCTACATTATAATTACTGGGATTAGACAGTCCCCAATTTACAGAGAACACTTCCTTTTACAGAGAAAGGGCAGGGCACTTGCTGTCTGGGTTGCAGGGGTCTGTGGCTGGCTTCAGTTCTGGGAAAGCTCAGCTTCTCCACTTGGGCCAGTGACAGATGAGACAGAGACAGATGAGACAGATGAGACAGTGAGAGCTAGGCATGCTGAGTCCCCCAGGATGTGCTGTTCCCGGAACATAAACTCAAGGAAGAGCTAAGAAAATGTGACTATCATTGCAAATAACTTAATAAATACCAAGTCTCTGGTTTCTTAACTAGGAATGATCAACAGAGCTTTCAACTTTAGATTAATAAAGTACGGCTGTTTGACTCAGTTCAGGAATGGCTTTTAAACTTTGATGTACCCTGAAGAGATTGTTAAACCACACATTCTGAGATCAAAGTATCTGTATGTTTAAAAAGTGCTACAAGTGACTCTGTTGTTACTATGGAAAACAAACACCACACACAAACACACACACACAGGGTTATGACCATATATTTTTAACTAATAAAGATCAGTGATGTAAGGATTAAACTTACTTGTACATACAGATGTACAGAGCATTCCTAAGTGTGACTATTAGAAAAATAAAAAGGAACTCTCTGTTACAATTTTCTGGAAGCTTCTTGGCAGGATTCTTGTTCTCTGCAACCCAACACCTGCCAGAAGGCTTGATAGAGGAAGGCAGGATGGCACCACCCCTTCAGCCCCCACCCTCACACACCCACCCCCAACTTCCCTTACCACCAACCCCCTGATTTTTTTCTCTCCATTCGCTGCTGACTTGAGTTTATGTTCTGGGAACAGCACATCCTGGGGGACTCAGCATGCCTAGCTCTCACTGTCTCATCTGTCTCATCTGTCTCTGTCTCATCTGTCACTGGCCCAAGTGGAGAAGCTGAGCTTTCCCAGAACTGAAGCCAGCCACAGACCCCTGCAACCCAGACAGCAAGTGCCCTGCCCTTTCTGCCCATTCCTTAGCCATTTTGAATCAGAAATCGAGCCTGGAATTCAAGACTAAGATGTATATAAAAGAAAGTGAACATACCTGTTTCACAACTTCACAGGCACAAGAAGGGCTCAGTTGCCTCTCACTCACTCCCTTGCTCTCTCTCCTCCTTTCACTTCCTGTTCCTCTTTTATAAACAAATCACCAGGGTAGGGGGAAAAACCCAGGAAGCTTATCATTTCCACAGTGGGAAAGTACAAGAAAACTGAAATTGAAAGTAGAAGTAATCTGTGCTGTGTGACAGCATTAACAGAGGCATATCTGAATCATCTGACCTGACGTTGAGGATGGGTGTTGGAGGTAGGGATGAGAGGTCAGAAAAAGTCACAAGTACTGTAGAAAATCCACAGCACAACCAGGCTTGGTGGCTCAGCCTGTAATCCTGCGCCTTTGGGAGGCTGAGTTGAGTGGATTGCCTGAGCCCGCGGGTTCGAGACCCGCCTGGAAAGCGAGACCTCATCTCTACAATAAATCAAAAAAATCAACTGGGCATGGTAGCGCATGCCTGTAATTCCGGCTACTCGGAAGGCTGAGGTGGAATGATCGCAGGAGCCCAGCAGGTCGAGGCTGCGGTGGCCGGGAGCGACCACTGCACTCCAGTCTGGGCGACAGAGTGAGACTCCAACTCAAAAAAAAAAGAAAATCCACAGCACAAATGTAAATAAGTTTTATAAGCCAAGAATATTTCTAGCATTTCTCTTTAATTGAGGACTACTCACTGCTTTTGTTAACCAAGTGCATTTAACAATTTAAACATTTTCTCTAATAGAGAATGAGAGAGAGAGAGACGTAGATTTTCCCACAGTGGCATACTTTAAAGACAATGTAGTTCCATACAACTACAATAAAGTAAAATCATATTAAAGTGAGATGTAATTTTTTTGTTTCCTAGTGCATATAAAAGTTATATTTATACTATACAGCACTATTAAGTATATAATAACATTATGCCTAGAAACAACTACATAACTTAATTTTAAAATACTTTACTGTTAAAAGAAGCTAATTTGATCATCTGAACCTTTAGAAGATTCACTTTTTGCTGGGGGAGGATCTTTCTCAATGTTGATGGCTGTTGACTGATCACGGTGATGGTTACTGAAGGCTGGTTTGGCTGTAGCAATTTCTAATAGCATTTTACCCACAGTTGAATTTCTTTCAAAACTGGATTCATTCCTGAAAGACAGTGATGTGCAGTAAGACTCAACACCCTTTAAGGCCAAGAGATTTAATAGGGATGAGCACGGTGGCTACAGAACCTGAGAATCAGATTGCAGCATGGAGGCAGGGGTGTGGCAGGTTTTATAGAAATTTAAAGCGACCTGTCGATTACCTATTGGTCGGCAGGTGAGGTATTTTTGGGACTGGCAGGAGCTTTCGCGGGCACGGGAATGGTGGGCTTTGTTGTAGAAGAAGAACCCGGAAGGCCTTGTCCGAGCCTCCATGTTAGTTTGTCCAGGCGCCTTCTTAGGCGGGAGCGCCATTTTAGGTGGGGGCCACGCCTAGGCTTGGTCTTAGGAGGGGGCGGGTTCCTTGTGGCTGGCTGGGGCCTTTCATTCCCACCTCTTTGGTTAAGTGATAAAGGGGCGGAGTTGATCGGTCTGGCTACTTCCTGCTGGCAGGGGGCATTGTTGGATGAGGTGGATGAAAGAACCAGCCACATGAGGCCCCATAAGAAGGTGCCGAAAGAAAAAAATTTGCTGGGGGTGGAAGTCTTGGACAGTGCCCTGGAGGTAGAAGAATGCAAGTTGGTCCGGCCAGTCTTCGAGTGGACACGGGAAAGGGAGGAGCCATTTGTCACCAAGAAGATGGTCAAGGAATGCTGAAAACCTGAGTTGGAGGTAATAAGGCCTGAAAGCCATATCTGTAATGAAAAATGGGGTGAGAAGGTTTAGGAGGCAGTAGGGCTTGGGTTGTTGAGGTTTGGGTCCTCGGTGGGTAGGAGGTTGTAACTCTGCAAAAGAAACTGGTTAATGGTTTGATTTGAAATTTTTTGGAATTGAGATTGAAGAAATTTTATAAGGCAAGGGAGAAAGGAACACAGGCCGAGAAGGAGAACGACTGGAGTAATGATAGGAAGAAGCACGTGAGGAGGGAGTTTGGAAACCAACTGGTAATTTGAGTGGGCTTTGTTCGTTGAAGCTGTGAGGAGAGGTCGTTTAGTTTGTTGATATTTTGTTCAATGAGCCCTGATTCATTGACATAATAGCAACATTCTTCCTGGAGAAAGAGGCAGGTGCCTCCTTTTTTGGCTGTTAAGAGGTCTAGGGCTCTACGGTTTTGGAGGGTTATCTGTGTTAAGCTAGTTATTTGTCTTTGTAGTGACCCGATGGATTCTGAGGTGGTGTCTAGCACCATCTGGATTTCGTTTTATAGGTCTTTTACTGCCCATAGTGAGTAGCCGAGAGCTCCTCCCGCCAGGCCGAGGGAGGTGAAAGCGGATGCGAGGGACAATCCAACCATAACCGGGGGAAGATTGCCCTTTGGTGTGAATGCCTGGGGGTTAAAAGTGTCTGGAGGTCAGTCATGGAGTATAAAGAGAGCTGAGGGACCAACGTGACAACTATGCAGGGATGAGTTAGGTTTGAAGCTCGGGAGAGGAGGGTGCCATTGCACCACAAAAATAGCCCAGGTGGCAGGAAGTGGGCCTTTGTGAGGTTTGTGTAGGCCAAACAAAGAGTGTTGTTAAAGGGGGCATGTGGCAAGTTGATACAGAGGTAGGAGGAATTAGAGGCTATTTCCCAGAGGGGTACATGAGGTTTGACTATAATTTCCCTGTGGGTGGACGTGTTGAGAGTGTAGTTGGGAAAAGCTGGAAGGGGAACGGCTGCTAGTAAGGGTCGCTGTAAAGAGGTGCAGAGGAAGCATTGTGAAGACGGGAGGTCAGGGAACGATTGATTTAGTCAACGTAGAGTGTGTTTTAGGATGGTGAGGGGCTGGCCCGCGCCGTGCCTGGGTCCCATTGGAGGAGATCATGAGGCAGCATTTCTATAGGAAGAGGTTGTTTGAGCACAGGTTTAAGTTTTGTGCCGGCGGGAAAAGCCACTTAGGGCCTTTGTTGTCTTTGGGCGCAGCACCATCTTGGGCCGTCATTATTTTTTCTGGTTGCTTCCTGCTGGATGTGGGCATTGTGGGGTGAGGTGGGGGAAGGGCACAGAACCAGTCGGAATAGGGTCTAGAGGTAGGCACTGAAGGTGAAGATTTTTGAAAGGTTGAGTTGTATGAAAGTTTTTGTAAATGCAGAATGACAACTTGTTTCGGCCAGTCCTCCAGTGGGCACGAGGGCGATATTAACCAGCTGTCTTAGAGCAGACTGTGGAGGTAAATAGAGAACCTGGAAGAGAACATATCTAAAAGAAAAGTTAAGTGATGTTTAGGGGCAGCACCAGAAGAAG